TTGTTGTTCGGTGTACATCCCCTAGGGTTTCATGAAAATTCCATTGTATCCATTCTATACTAAAATAGGAACATATTTACTGACTGAGAAAAACCTGGATGTTTGAACGTATCCTGTTTTGTGATAAAAGTAAACGTCAAGGCTTGAACAGAACCAGTGTGTGCTCTGTGCTTTGCACACATCAAAATTGAATGTTAGTGCTATTGTTAGGGATTGTGTGCTATTACTGCTCTTTGAATAGAACTTCTAAATATTACAAAGAAAACGACTTCTTGTTTGCAGCACTGGGTCTGATGATCTGGTCTCTCAAATAATCCTGTATCCCAGCCCCATTTATTTTACTGTACTGCAGCTAATCTCCTCCAGTTTTTATTCTCTGCTCCCTCCCGCTTATCTAGGCTCATTGTGCCTCACTGTTTCCCTCTCACTATTTTAATTCTTTAATCTTTTTATTATCTTGTGTTTGCAGGCTCCACTCTCTGGCCATCTCTCTGCTCGCTAGACTTCCCAGAATCCTTGGCGCACGCAGAAAAGTCCTTTTATCAGTCATTCTGGTATAAACGAGTACTATGACTCAAAATAATAAGAAATTGCTACACAAATCAGCTGGCGATAGGTGGTTTTATGCACTGTTATGGGGTGTGATTAGGGGGGCATTCATGGTAGTTCTTTCTAAATGTTCACTGTGTCTAACGTTTTCCAAAATGTGTGCGTATTTTCTGCAATTCGTGCGGAGCTATGTACATGGACCGGGAAAGTAGGACAGTGCAACAGATATAGGACAATCTAACGACATTTTTGGTGTGGCTTTCTTTATCAGTACTTACGGAATGCTCTTAATACCTAAGTGGTCTGGGCCTCTATATATGCAGGGCCGGATTAACATAGGGGCTGATGGAGCTGCAGCTCCAGGCCCAGGCCCATGGAATAGGCCAAATTTTATTTTTATTTTTTTTTTACATTTTTTTTTTTTTCACACACTACTCTTAGGGATTCCACCTGGCTTTTAATTTTATTGGCACATCCAGTATTTGAGGCTGCCTGGCTGGTGCAAATATTACAGTGATATTGGCAATACAAATGCTGGTATTTTTCTCAGTATAAACAAGAGATTACTATGCAATACCAGCAATGGCCAGTAGGGGTCACTATGTGTGGAGACAGGCAGGGAAAGGACATTCCAGCATATCCCTCCCTGCCTATCTATACTCACTGATCTGAAGGGGTACAGCTACAGAGAGTCCAGACAGCAACTCCCACCCTGCAGAGACAGCCTACAGCTCAGTGAAGTAAGGGATGGGGGGGAAAGGCTGCAAGGAGACATGGGGACACTGAGACACTAAGGGACATTGGGAGACATTATGACACAGACACAGTCTCCCAGTGTCCCCATGTCTCCCAGCCAGTGTCCCTGGTGTCTCAGTGCCCCCAGTCTTCCAGTGTCTCACTGTATCCATGTCTCCTAGTTCCTCTATGTCTCCCAGTGCCTCAAGTGTCTCAATGTCCCCATGTCTCCAAGCTAGTGTCCCTAGTGTCTGTGGCTCTGGTGTCTCCTTGTCCCCATGTCTCCCAGTGCCCCCATGTCTCAATGTCCCCATGTCCCCCAGCCAGTGTCTCTAGTGTCTGTGTCCCTGGTGTCTGTGTCCCCATGTCTTCAAGTGTCCCCTATTTTCCCAGTGTCCCCATGCGTCCCAGCCAGAGTCCCCTAGTCTCCCAGTGTCACTGGTGTCTCTGTGTCCCTAGGTCTCCCCGTGTCCCCAGGTCTTCCTGTCTTCCTAGTGACATGGGGACCCTGGGATACATGGGGACACAGGGAGATATGGGGCATTGAGACACTGTGATACATAGGATCATTGGGAGACCTGGGGACACGACACTAGGGGACACTGGGAGACATGGGGTACTGAGACACTGATACATAGGAACACAGACCTGGAGTAATTGACACATGGGGGCACTGGGAGACATGGGGCCACTGGGAGGAATCCATCTATACAGCAGAATCAAACTAAGTAGTTTTTTGGTGATTTTACAGCATTTTTTCTTATGTCACTCCTTGTGATTTACATCATGTGATGTCACCCATACATATTTAATTATGGAAATTAGCAAGGCCGGTATGTTTTTCCAAGAAAGGTGGCAACTCCAACTACTTTTCACATACCCTTACTTAAGTATGGAAACTTAAGAGGGATGTATGGGAACAAAACTTGTGTGGACTGGCTGACAATGAATATAGTTAAAGGGACACTAGAGTCACCAGAACAACTACAGCTTATTGAATTTGTTCTGGTGAGTAGAATCATTACCGTTTGGCTTTTTGCTGTAAACACTGTAATTTCAGAGAAAATGCAGTCTTTACATTACAGCCTAGTGATAACTTCACTGGCCACTCCTTAGATAGCTGTTAGAGATCCTTCCTGGGTCATGGCTGCCTAAAATGCATCCAAACATTCAGCGTCCCCTCCCTCTGCATGCAGACACTGAACTTTCCTCATAGAGATTCATTGATTCAATTCATCTCTATGAGGAGATGCTGATTGGCCAGGGCTGTGTTTGAATCATGCTCACTCTGCCCCTGATCTGCCTCTTTGTCAGTCTCAGCCAATCCTATGGGTAAGCACTGTGATTGGATTAGGCAACCACTTCTAATGATGTCAGCAGACTGCTTGTTTTTCTGAGTCTAACAGCATGCAGAGTTACAGCTTCAGGCTTGAATACAGTTAGATTTTTCTATATTTATGGAGGCATGAGGGGCCCAGGGGGGCTTGATGGTGGTGAATTCATGTTTGTGTTCCTGACCCTATAGTGATCCTTTAACCCCTTAAGGACCAATCTTCTGGAATAAAAGGGAATCATGACATGTCACACATGTCATGTGTCCTTAAGGGGTTAAGGTAATGCTGACTTTGGTCTCTCTAACAATGTGCTTCTACACTCACTACATAAAGCTTTTTCTCTGTCCCAGACTATATACCAGGAGCTTCTGCCTGCTAGTAAGAAAGTAAGGAGACAAGTGGACCAGCAAATGCTAGGGGACAGTCCTTAGAAAGCGTTGAGCGAGCGCATCATTAGATGCATTTATGCCAAGCTCAGGGTGCTGTCTGCATAGTATGCCCTTAGTTGGCCAACTGCATGATTGGCAGACAGTCTGACATGCATTCATACCAGGCTGGCCTTCTAATTCTTTGGGCAGACATATCCTCTTTTTGGGCATGTTCGCCCCTTTTGGCAGGTTACGTGATTTGTGTCAGTGGCACACCCTTTTACCGTGCCCATTGACTTCCTGCTTGACAGGACACTGCTGTTAGGGGTTATGGGTTTTCTTGAAAGATGAAAACATAAATTAGAGGGAGATTAGCATAGGGTATGTGTTTTCTTATAGCTGCTGTTTTCTTTCTCTCCAGCACCATCTCCATCAGATACATGACGCTTGGGAGTGTTTTACTGTTTTTGGTCAATATGATTCTGTAATTAGGCCCGTCATAATTTTTAGCACCAGGTCCACTGGGCTCTTAATCTGGCCCTGTATATATGCCTATCTTTAACTATAGTTATGAACAAGTTGTATGACATTCTCTTGTACTTGGTCTGTGACATATATTTTTCCTTAAGGCTCAATAAAATGTTTTTAGAGGTCTTCGAGGTTGTGGTCCAAACAGGACATACAATATCCCAAGACTTTTCCACAGTTCCCTTGACAAGTCCTGTACTAGTTAGAAAGTCTCTAGTAGGAGAATAGTGACAACACACCCCAGGGACTAACAGAGAATACCATCAGCTTATGAGGTACCAGGTTAAACTTAATTTCAGTAGAGAAAGAGAATCATTTTTGGGAAGAGCAAACACTCAACTGCAGGGTTGTGAGCATGCTGGTGCACACAATCTTTCAGATCAGTTGTTCCAGGCAATTTGTCTGTTCCTGAGGAAAGCCAACACCTGTATAATTGCTTACATAGTTGGTGGACGGTGAGCATAAGCATTTCCTGGCCTCTAAACCATCCCTTACAGCACCTCCTGGTGGTGAAAACTGTCTGTGGGATAATACCTAAAAGAGCTTGCTGTCTAGAAGTGTAGCGGTACTTACCTTACCCGAGGACCGGCCGAGGTCCTCACTTCCCGCCGCGCGCAGCTCCCAAATGCAGGCGGGCACGGACCGTGAGATGCGGTCACTTGTTCCGCCTAGCTCTAAGAGCGTGCCGCGCGTCTCGGGCACGCTCTTAAAGGGGCAGTGGGAGCCAAAAAATGAAATGTGCTTCCATTGGCCCGTCATCCCACATTCCCCAGACACTCACATTTTGGGGGCGTGGATATGACAGGGGCAAATCAAAGTAAAGTTTAGGGTATTTATACTTAACTCTCCCTTAACTCCCTGCCCTATTGTGGTTTCTGTTTCAGTTCCCTTTAGTGCTTGTTGTGTTCAGTTGTGATTTTCGTGCTTGACCTTGGCTTTGTATCTGACTCTGTTTATCTCTCTATCCCTGTTTTGTCTTGTTTGCCGGCTTACTGACTACTGTGTACCAGATCTTGGCTAGTTTTTGTTCTCGCTCTCTCTTTGTTCCCTTGACCTCGGCTTGTTCTTGACTCTGTCTATTCTCTGCTTTACGGCGAGTCCGGCCATTCTAAGGTCCGGTAAGCCGTATCTGCTCTATCTGTCGATTGTTGGACTAAATCCTGCGTGTAGGAGTAAACTACCGTGACGAGAAGGAGGTGTAGTTGGTAAATTCTGAGCAGTTGCTGTTTATCTAAACCATGTCATATCTTCTATTTCTATCTTTAGAGGGAAATCCGTGCTCCTGGGGTAAGGTTGTGGAGATGATGCCCAAGTGCTAGGTCCATACTGGGTCTACAACTTTGCCAAGAAAGCAAGGAAGTGCCATGTAGTACCTAGTACTCACTAGAGAAATCAGAGGATATCGTTTTAGAAAAAGTTTAAAGGAGAAAATTTGGGTTGAAGTAATAGGGAAGAATCCATAGGTGTAAAAAAAAAAAGTGCCCACGCACACCCTAATGCAGAGCCAAATTGTCCTCAATATCCTGCTTGGCTTTCTATGGACACCTTTGCATGAGTTTAGGTTAGCTTAGCTTAGCTTGTCATGTTTTTGAAGAAACTTTACATTTAGAGTAGAGTTATAGGAAGGGAGAACAGAGGAAGAAAGGGGTGGACGTTATAGGAATTGTCAGATGTTGAGTTTTTGAAAGGAGAGAAGTAAAACAGAGGAAGAAAGGGGTGGACGTTATAGGAATTGTCAGATGTTGAGTTTTTGAAAGGAGAGAAGTAAAACAGTAGATTTATAGGAAGAGAAGGTACAGGAGGCTGTATAGGTGAAGCTATGGCTGCAAAAGTAGTTCAAGCCTTATTGTTCACTAATGGTGTTTGACTGAATAATGCATTAATAGTTGTCATCACACAGTATGGTATACGTAATTGTTCAGTAACCAGTAGTTAGATTTTTTTTTTAATGTAATTCTCCCTGGAAAAATAAAAACCGTTTTGTAATAGGGTGTATTATAATTTTCATATGTAACTATGGCTTGTTTTTCACTCACAAATGTCTGAAATGATTAGCATATTCTATTTCCTTATTCTCTGGCCAATATGTGAAGATAATGCATTTGGGGCTGTGTAACTCTGACAATGGATGGGTTAACGAGAGCTTAATTTTGCATGACTGATTTCAAAAAAAGTAATTCCTTTTAGCATACAGTGGAGGCAGAAGAGGAGGGGGCTGAAGGAATAGCTGCTTGAATTTCTTACACGATAGTGTTCTTGGATTGTATAGTGGGCATTTGACTTACGTTGGAAACCTAGGCCCTTAATATCCATCTCATCCTGGGCGGCAGCGAGATCATGTCATGTAACCCTGTAAAGGGTGGTCAGATATCCAAGGGACTTTTGGAGGGAGGAGACCCTCTTGCTTTAACCTCTTCCCCCCCCACCCCCCGTCTTCTACATTGCCTGGAGCAATGAACAGCATCATGCAGCCCGAGAAGAAGGGAGGAACCTAGGGCAGGCATTGAGGGGCAGTGTGGCCACTGGCATGCAGTGCCATCTGCAAGGTGACCTCTAAAGGTACAATTGTTTGATGAAGCTGTACTGGCGATATGAATAGATGACAATGGATGACTTTGAAGTCACAGTCTTTCTGTCCCAGTGATGTCCCACCCCGTGCAACCGAACTGGGAACGGGACATGATTTTACTTACCTACAGACTCCCCAGAGGATTGAGTGCATAGCGTGAAGTATGATGGACAGTGACTACGGGATGGATGAGTCGCCAGAGGAGCAGACGACCCCTCGGGCTCTGTGTCACTCAGTCGTCTTTTTCTGCTCAAAGGGAATGATCGAAGGCGTGGTGGTCTTTCTTTTTATTTGGTTGCTGATTCAGGTCCTCCTCAATAAGCAGCAGGAAGGTATGCTTCTACGGGGTTTCATTGACATGATATCCTGACTACCAACTCATGACCAAATAATCTGTGACCCACCTGACCTCTTATTATTATGGATTTTTACATTTTATTCCCTTTATTGATGCATTTAATCCCTGCTATAATTCCTCCTAGTGAATTAAATAACCTTTCCATACATCTCGTATACCTTCCATTACTCTCCATTCATATACCAAGTCTTTCTCATAGTGTATTAACAATGCATTAGTCATTTATCCTCTAAATCAGGGTTTCCTAAGCTTTTAGGTTAGTACCTAAAAAAATAAAATAATTAGTAGGTACCTCTGCCTCAAGGAAGTGATTTCTGTTGCTTTAAATATCAAATGAAACATGGAGACACTGATATTTAGGTTAATCCCATATTGGAGAACAAGCCTAATTAAAGGTAGTAAAGAACATTTTAAAAATAAATATGACATAATGTGAATATTGCATTTGTAAAGTGTATGAATTATTAATCTGAAGTCACAAAATGAAAATGTAATACACACATGATAGTTACACATAGGACACTGAAACACACACACACACACGACATTGACACACACTTGCATACAGAGGACATTGACACACACACACACACACATTTACACACAGAGGACATTGACATACAGAGGACACTGACACACACATTTACACACAGTTTAAATGACACACACTGACTCTGTAACTTCTCTTGTTACTCCATATAACCCCTCTCTATAATTCCTCCCATTACTCACTATATACCATCCTTTATAAAATGTTGTTTTGTACATGTACCAGCCCCTTTTTCCAATTCCTTTCTAGTGTTTGCTAGTACAACGTGCACTGAAAGTTTATTTAAGATATCTAATAAACACCATAACTTTTACCTTAAATAACATGTGAGGCATGGATGGATTCTGGAAATGTTATTTGTTTATTTATAAATATTTTACCAGGAAAGATACATTGAGATTTCTCTCGTTTTCAAGTATGTCCTGGGTCCACAAAGAAACATAGAATGTGACAGCAGATAAGAACCATTCGGCCCATCTAGTCTGCCCAATTTTCTAAATACTTTCATTAGTCCCTGGCCTTATCTTATATCTAGGATAGCCTTATGCCTATCCCATGCATGCTTAAACACCCTCACTGTGTTAACATTAACCACGTTAGGAGGAGCCTTTACTGTGTTGATTCCCTTTATATATTTAAATGTTTCTATCATATCCCCCCTGTCTCGTCTTTCCTCCAAGCTATACATGTTAAGATCCTTTAACCTTTCCTGGTAAGTTTTATCCTGCAATCCATGAACCAGTTTAGTAGCCCTTCTCTGAACCCTCTCTAAGGTATCAATATCCTTCTGAAGATACGGTCTCCAGTACTGCGTACAATACTCCAAGTGAGGTCTCACCAGTGTTCTGTACAATGGCATGAGCACTTCCCTCTTTCTACTGCTAATACCTCTCCCTATACAACCAAGCATTCTGCTAGCATTTCCTGTTGATCTATTACATTGTCTTTCTACCACACAAACAAAGCATTGCATTGTTACAAATACAAGTACTGCAACAAAAAAGTTATAAACCAAATCAACAAATAATGATTTTAAAATCATAACATAAATGTAATTGCACCATTCTTTAGCAGATTGGTTGCATGGTGCCAAAATGTCAAATGCCAAAAAAGTGACCCTTTAATTAAATGGTGTGGTTGCGGACAGGCATTTTATGGAATTTCCTGACCTATTGATGGCGTCTGGGCCTTTTCTTTCTGAGATTTGGATTTCAGTTTACTAAAACTCAAATAGGCAGTCCACGTTAGCTGAGTCAATCTAATAATTTTTCACTAGATTCCAGATTACTGTATCGGATTGAAAACTTGTTTGCAAACTACGGGTTAAATTATCTACATCCACTATGTTCCATGTCATTCTCTACTCTCATGCATGCGCATGATTACAATAGTGATGTCTGTGATGGAGTCTGCAATCCCGCAAGTTCCTCCATAGTTTAAGTGTAGCCATCCACGCGAACAATGGTTGTAGGAATTGGCAAAATGCAAAAAGATCTGAAGACTGTGCCAAAACTAAATGGCTGAAGCTCTGCTTTTTGTCATGTTTTGTCAACCTCAGACTTTACCACACAACAAAGCAGTCCCTACTTTGTACCATATTTTCTGATTTGTGTAGAAGTGTCAGTGAAATTCCATTGTGAGTGTTTCATAAACGTTCTGTCTCTATTAAATACTCTGAATCAGGGCTAGGCAACCTTTGGCACTCAAAATGTATGGACTACAGCTCCCCTGATGCTTTACTAGCAATCTAGCTTTAATAGCATTTTGGGAGATGTAGGCCATAACATCTGGAGTACAGAAGGTTGCCTACCCTTGTGGTCTGCTGACACCCATTTTAATCAGCAAATGTAAAATCATTTATTTTTATGCTATGGTTTTCAGTGGCCTCTATTGCAAATAGTAGTTCCGAAAGGCACTAATGTTACCAAAGTAGCCTCATAACCCACAGACATAAAACAATATAAAATTAACCCTCTTTATCATTTAAAACTTTGAAACAATTCCCCAAACACATTAAAGGGACACTATAGTCACCAGAACAACTACAGCTCATTGTATTTGTTCTGGTGAGTAGAATCATTCCCTTCAGGCTTTTTGCTGTAAACACTGTCTTTTCAGAGAAAATGCAGTGTTTACATTACATCTTCCTCCTTGACAGTCTCAGACAATCCTATGGGGGGGGAAGGGGGAGAGGGAAGTATTGTGATTGGCTCACACCACCACTTCTGATGATGACAGCAGACAACAGGCAGACCAGATCCAGACAGGGGCAGAACAAGCAGCTACAGACTTAAATTCAAGTAAGATTTTACTATTTTAGCGAGGCAAGAGGGGGATCTGGGGGGCTAGATTGTAGTTTTAACACTACATGTTTGTGTTCCTGACCGTGTAGTGTTCCTTTAAGGAATGCAAATGCTTACTTATGTATCAATTTTTTTTAACTTCACAGTAGTTTTCTGCACTATTATTTAAAACCTCTGCCAGGGGTCTATTCCATGTGTTGTCTACATCGGTAATGTAGCGCTTTAAGAGATTGTCTTTGAACCTTCCACAACCAGCAAGCTTTATTTAAGCTGTGTCTTTCTCTATCACAGTTAATGCTTTGTAACTCTCAATGTTTGCTTTTTAGATTCTGTTGAATCTTATCAATAAACTCCTTGAGATTAAAGTGTAATTTTTTCCATGATCCGACTCGGTCCACATTATTTTCACCTTTGTTGCTATAGCAAACGTAGCAACCATGCTCAGACGCAGCTGGGAAATTCACAGAGGAATCGATCTTTGAATAACTATATATTTGCAGTAATCGTATACAGTATTGATAGCACGACATGCAAATGGAAATCTATTTTGGCCATAATCTGGCAGTGGGGAACTGGTACCCCTCAACAGTAAACAGAATTATAGGATAAATTGTACGTTCTGGAGCAAGTTCTGAAAGTATAAATAAGTTATGGGGCACCAGTTCCTATTTAGTGAGGTATTTCAATACTTATTGAATGTTACAAGAAGGGCATGGGTGCAGTTTGTTTTGAAGCAATTTGAGGATAAAAAAAAACAAAACAGTAAGAAAAGCATTAGTTCTTCATAATCACATTGGCATTATAGTTAGTGGATATCACAACCCCCTACTAGATGTTACATTTGGTTATGGTGCTAAGCTCGTCCTGTTAATGTGCAATGTAGTACACAGAATTATTCACAGTGAATT